CTTTTTGTTAGAAACAGAGTTTCTAACGGATTTGGGAATTGGGAGAATAGCTAGATCAACTAGGGATTGATCGAGCTAGGGATTAAAATTTAGAAAATTGGGATTAGAGAGGGGAAGGAAGGGAGTCGGCTGCTGCCGAGTTTGGGGAAGAAGAAGGGAAAAAGGGGCGCAGGAGGGAGAGGAAGAGAGGGAGAGTAGGTTTAGGTTTTTGATATTTTATTGCTTAATGTGAAAATAACTCATACTGCAGATTATATAATCCGCATAATTCCTATCTCATACCCAACAAATAAAACACAATAATCGACTCCCGGTTTATTGCCCAAATTTCCCAAATAATCGCCCAATTAACAAAACCGACAAATAAAGCGAATTAACCAAAAGCTGCAAATTATTTGTTTCTAACACTTTTCCTGTCCATCCTGGTGACCATCTGCTCTCGCGCATTGCTTTGCGCTCCCCACTATGGGTGCGACACAGCCTGTCAGATTCTTCTTCCCACTGATCTTGATATTGTTGTTTGATGGATTGTCAGGATGATCAGTTACATGAGAATCCTCATGGCGGTTGCCAATCTTGATTGCAGCTATCTTGTTGAGATCCTCCCTTAGCTTTCTGCTTTCACTTCTAAATTCTCGGAGAAGCTTGATGCTAGACTCCACTAACTCGATGATGATGCTACATCTATACTTCTCCAATAGATCGATTATTATTCTGATACCAAACCAAATATTGGAACAATGGTTCCAACGTGGTGCTGATGTGTGTTCGTTTTAGGCTCGAACAAATCGGAAACTTAGTTCCTTTTTCTCAATATAATTCTATACCCTTCTTATTTCATTCAGCCCCTCAGAGATTCACTTAAGGTGATCTCGTTTATCACCTAATCCTAACCGATGTGGCTACCAAGCCTCTAATTAAATAACAAACAAAATCATTGATCAACGTGAGTGAGTACCCATCTGCCATCTTCCTTATGATTTGCGTGGACTTCATGGGTCCTTTTGCATGGGCTTCATTGAGACATTCATGGGCTCACATGGACTATGAGTCCATCTATCTACTTCGGGACAATGTGGGACAAATATGGTTATTGAGATACATTCGCGCCGGTTTGTCATCACTACGTTCTGGCGTTTCAACTTATGTAGGGGTGGTTTGGTTTTGGTGATTGTTTGGTTGAGATAGTTATAATGCATGCATTGTCCACAATGTATCATTTTTTTAAATTTTCAGTACAAACAATACAAGCATTGTTTACTTGATTTGACACAAACTATCACTCAAAATGAGTGATAGTTAAATCTCAAGTATTTTGTGAGATTGTTGAGATTGTTGTGTTTTTTTCTTCTTCCAACTAAGCTCCTACCTTTTTATGTGTGTTGCTTTTTATATTAAAAACAAAGAGTAAAAGTGATATTTCATCCAAAAGTAATATAACTTATTTAAATAATACAATAACTATCACAAAAACCAAACGATGTAAACTACAATACATAAATTTTTGTATCCCTCTATAATATATAGCTGTACTTCATGAGATTTTGAGCATTTCAAATTCCTTGCACTCTCCTTAATTGTAGCAAGGGGTAAATTTGTAAGTTCAACTTAGAACTTAAATATCTTCTTACGAGAAAAATGTCATTGCAAAGACTTGAACTCGAGTCCTTCAGATTGATAGTCAATATCCCTAACCAACTGGACTACTACAATGTTTATGTATTTTTTGAATTAAAGAGAGAAAAATACTGAAATATCTCAAAATCATAGGACTATCCACCGCAATAATCAATCATCAAACTAATTAATAACTGTAATTATTTACAAAATGAATCATCATGATATACCTAGTTTTATGAATCAACTAAGTGAGTTCCTCTAATCACACAATTCTTCACCAAGAATCAAATAGTACATTTTGAGTTTATGTATGTCTTACAACTTTTACATTTATTAGGTTACATGACTTTGTAGTTTGTAGGAATACAATGATTGTTTACAAAAGTGTTATGCACAATTTTATTTCAAAACATAAAATTTGACATTTGTGATCTACGGTTTCGTTACGATAACAAACAATTGTATGTGTGTATACATTGGAAATTCTATGGTACGCTCGATGGATTGATGGTTATTGCATCTCCTTAGTTAAATAACATTATCTAGTCCATAGATTAATCACGTAACTAAATCCTATATCATAATTCTCTAAATCCTAATATAGTGCATATGGTATGATGTATACATCTTGGCGAATCAGAATTATTGATTATGTTCTTAGTATATGTGATATTAGAGTTTAAGTTCTATAGTTTTAGGGTATATGATTTAATTATTTGAAACTTAATCTCCCTTTTCAAATTTCCTACAATGAGAGGCAAATTAGGAAGAACATTTTTGTCTTCACAATTATCTGTATTTTTTATTAATTTACAGAAAAAGATAGACATATTGAGATTTGAACCATGGTCACTTCAAACAAAGTGAAGGTTTAAAATCAATCAGACTATGTAGATTTGTTGTATTTTTTAAATTAAAAATATATACGAAGCTAAAATATGAAATCACAGAACTTTCGGCATCCCCCTCCTTGCGGTTAAGGTAACGACTTCGGGCGGGCCTTCAATTGGTCGTTTGGAATACATACCGAATGTGAAATCTTCCCTCTATCGTCGAAGTGGTGCTTGACATAGGCAGCACATCTTATTCTTAGGAAATTATGTGCTCTCGTCCAATCTATTGTGGACCATTTTCCTTCGTAGACATCCGGAACAGTTAGCTAGCCCAATAAATAGTATGTAAGTACTTATTTGGTGTTCTGATATTTCGATTTTGATATTTTTTATTTTAATTATAGTTTAATGCTTAATTTAAAATTTTATCTATCTTATAAATAGACGATAACCATAAATTTGCAACCAAAATATTGTTGGTTCGAATATTTCATATCGAATTATAGTATTGAATATGTAGAAGCGATATAGAATTCTTAAATTACCATTAATTTCCAGAACTATAGTGAAGCAATCATATCTTTGTGCAAACTATAGGGGACTGGTTCTCTGAACATTTTTGTCCGGTTAAATACTAAGTTTTGAAACTCTTCCTAGGGGTGTACGTGGGTCGGTTCATTTGGGTTTAAATATTTTAATCACCTAACTCGTATACCACGATTTTGAAAACACTAAATACAAACTCATCCAAATAATTTAGAATTTTAACTGTTTGTGTCATCCATACCAAATGAACCAATTTACATGTCGCTTAACTAAGGACGGTCCCATTGTCCAATCCCATCATTCTAATGTCAATCCATAAAAGTAACCCATATTCGCGTTTGTTAACACATGTTTCACAATGTCATTACTGTGACCGGTAACTTCGCTGCAACTGATTCGGTATTGCTCATCATATGGCCTCCAAACTGATAAACATATCGGGGCAGCATTTTTATGACAAAACTCAAAGTGAAGACAACTCATCGTCTAGTGGAATTTTGGCACTTTCTGGTGTCTATTAATCTAATTGCAAGCATAATGATTGCTAAAATTAAGCTTTCACGCAACACACTAGGAGTTGGGGGTGTGAACTGTGAACTTGGAGTAAAAGTTGATATTGGGTTTGGGAAGGGAAGTGGTTAGAGGAAGAAATTGTGTTTGGATTTAGTAGCAGGTAAAGTTCATGGTTCGGTTTCTTTTCGTAAAATGTTTTTATTTATTTTAGTTAGAGGTATAATATCATGGTTATGTGGGATCAAATGAACCAAAAATGAGCTTGGGGATGGGAATTCCAACTTAAACGAAGTGGATTAGATTTTGATAAACTCAAGTTCATGATTAACTAAAAGAATATTTAGATTTAGACTTTGTGGTATTGAGATATTCATAGAGAGTTTAAAACCGATCCAAGGCCATGGATTGATATTGGTTAGTTGATTGTGATTTTGATGAAGGTGTATAAAAAGTCATGGAAGTAGTTTGCAGCAAGTAAAGACGGTGAAGAGGCAGTTGGTCAGGGTAGTGATTGAACCAAGGAGGGTATTAAAAGACATAGAAGCAAAATCGGAGCAGTTGAAGAGAGAGAAGTGGTAGATGATCAGGATATTAATGAAAATGAAGAGGGCATTGAAGGGCATGGAAGTGAACTAGATCAGGTGAAGGCAGAGAAGGAGGAGAAGAGCATAATTGATGGGATTGGAGATGAGTGTTGGTTTACGAGCTTATTAAAACTGCCCCGAGGAAGATGCGTTGGCCAAATGCAAGAAAGAGGATTGAGGAGTTGGAGATCAAGCTGACAAGAAACTCAATTGAATTTTGGCTGCAGAAGGACGATTAGAAACTGAATTTTGGTTTAAAACATATACGTCGAGAGATTGAAGATGGAGGGGATAAAAAGTTGGTTGCACAACAGAGAGTGGAAACTATTGGATCTTTAGGTGTTATTGTTGTTGCAACTACCACAACCTATGTTTATGTTAAAACGAGGAATCATTGATTGATTTACTAAAGTTAAGGTCGATTCACTATTCAAACTACTGGAACATGTAGATAAGGAGTGTCTAATTTTGTGCCTCGTTACTTTGATCGAGTCTACTTATATATTAGATGTAACTTTAATTTTGTCATTTGCTCTCAAGTTTTGAAGGTATCTTTTTAGTTGAGTTGTTAGCATATGATTTACTTGAATCAACAACTCTTCATTTATGTTTTTTTTTAAATCAATTTCTTTTTTATTAGTGGCATGTTATTCATGGAGGAGAGTTTTGAACCATTTATGTGGGAATGTGAGGTTTCATTTCAGTTTCAAACTATCTATGGATCGTGTGGGAATTCCAATGAGCTTTTATATTATATATTTCTGGACAATCTAACCAATATCATTTTAATGTGGGCTCAATTATCATTATGAAAATTGGATTAATGATACATTTTTATATTCTTATATGAGTAGGATATTTCCCTGAATGTTCAACCTATATATTCATTCTTTATGTAGCATCTCGATTGAATGGTTATCAATAAACTTAAACAAATTAATAGACTTAAACATAAAATAAAAATAAAAATATTAAAATATGAACATTCCGGCCAACGGGCTGGGTTACAAGCTAGTATACATGTATATTATTATGCATGTATTAATGACAATACATCTATGAGTTGCTAAAGGTCGCCCTGAAAATTGCTAAATGTCGCCCTAAAAAATATCAAAGTTACAAATTTAACCTTTTAGCTTTTTTTACTTTTCCTTAGCAAACAACACCACTTAGTAAAGAAAATAAAACATTATTCAAAAGAGAGAATCCATCATCGTCATTCTGGAGTTGGAATCGTCGATATGATGTCTGGATCATGACTAGTGACTCTGAATCGGTAAAGTTCACTTCAAAAATTGAAAAAAAAAGGAACCGTAGATCATTTGCGGTTCCACCATGGGCCAACCGCAGCTCCCTTGCGGTTGCACCATGGACCAACCGCAAGTGAGTTGCGGTTGCGCCATGGACCAACCGTAACTTGCCTGCCTTAGGTTGAGCGTTTTTTTGGAAATTTCGATAGAGAACCGGCGACGACAATGGCGGGGAAGGCGCCGCCGGACTGGTGCGTCGAGAGGGATTCACGAAGAAGGCAGATGAGGGGTTCAGTTTGAGGAGTTAGGGATTGTTTGGTTTTTTGAAATTTTATTGAGGGTATATAAGTCTTTTATCATTAGAGTTAGGGCGACTGTTATCAATTTTAAGGACGACATTTAGAGATTCAGTTTAACTATCACCAAAACCAAACAACAACTTAGTTTGCCGTTTCGGGCTCGTTGACCCTTTTAAAACTATTTAAAGAACCGGGGAAAGAAGGAGAAAAAAATGAAGGAAAGAGGAGATAGACGGGGCCACGGGGCAAGAAACAGAGCTGTAACGGCATCTCGCTACCGGCGCTGCCAGTCGATTAGCCGGAGGGAGTAGATATATTGGAGCTGAAAAAGAAGGAAGCATATTGGTAATTCTTTCATCGAACGCCACAGAGATCGGAGTCTTGCTCCGTCTGCCTTCACCTGCCGCCGCCTGAATTCCACCACCTCGGTTTCGGCTGCTGTTGTGGCGCCCAGGGCTTTGGCTTATCGAGAGGGCGAATAGAAAGAATAGGAAAAATAGAGACCTCTGGAACGATTGAAAGAGTTGAATTGGAGCACGTCCACTCGCGATCGAATTAGCAGGTGAGAGGCGGAGCTGCTCGAAAAAATTCAGTAAATGGGTCAAGCAGCAAAGAGAGGGGAGTAGAAGCTATCAGGGGTTTGTTCGTGTCTTCCTCAATCCACCTTCTCACTATTCGGGTATTTTCTTTTTCTGACGTCTTGACTTCATCCTTCTGTTTTCAGCGGGTTTTCAACTGTTATGATCCGTTGTAAGGTTAGAGTTGGTGAAATTGGAGCTCCTTACAGTTTTAGTGGAGTTCATTTGTTCAAGCGCACTTTGAGTCTCATCTGAACTAACAATTGTTTGATTGATTTCATACAAATGTAAAGGGTAGATTTTATAGCTTTCGGATGATTTGTGGTTTTGAACTTAATCTGCTATTGGAATCTACTTTGATAAAGGGCAAATTAGTTGGTAGCTTGCTTGGCTACACGGTTGGTGCTAATGTATATTAGATTGAGTATATGTCTGTTTGCTGGTAGGGTTTAACATTACTAATATGATCCTCTGCTTGCTGCTTTGTGTCTTTTACCTTCCTTGGTGGCAAGTTCATTACTTTGAGTTTCGTGTTTTTTTTTAACATTGCTAGGCGAATTCTCCCTAAATCGACAGAAGATTTGGCAATTCATGAGTTTTAGGGTTGAGCTCTTTTGTGGCTTCTAATCCATCCTTTCCTTGTCCAGTTTTTCTGCATGTTATTGTCCTGCTTTTCTAATTTGTGGTTGGCATTTCAATTTACTATATTATATTTACACACATACAATTCTCATAATTTACTAGGTAACCCTACTTCTTTCATACTGTTGGACATCCTTATAGTTTACTAGGTAATTCTACTTCTTGCGTACTCCTCACAGTTCACTCCATGCTAAGATATTTCTTGGGTGCCATGTAGCATGTACATTAGGTGAAGCCATGAAGCCACAATAGATGGTTAATTCACTCTTTATTTAAAACCATGATTCACAAGCAAAATTACTGGAACATATTCTCAAGTTTGTTCTCTGGTATATTAGTATTAGGAAATTTTGTTACAAAGTTTGCAGTGCAGAAGACATCTTTGTTGCAATAAAATCAATTGGTAACACATGTCTGGCGTTTTCTGGTTATTGCTCCACAGAGGATGCATATGTGAAATCAGATCAACAATCTTCCTAGCAATAAATGCATTTGAATTTTCAGATTAAGGGCTCAAACTAGAGTGATATGGGATGTTAGTTACTACATTCTCAGTTCTGTGCTGATGTGTCTCCATATCAGTTTGACTTTCAGGTTCCTGTGGTGACTCTCGACTAAAGCTTCTGGCGAGTTTATCAAGTTGAGTAAGTAGACTGTTTATAAATTAATGTTGCATTATATTGTTTGTTTTTGGGTTATGTTCAGAAGCTACAATTGAAAGTCAGGGAAAACAGCACATATTCTCTCATTATTGTGTTTCTGTTCTCTTTTTGTGCATGCAAAAATCATGTAGAGGGTCTCCAACTCTCCATTTTGTAAGGCTATTATTTTACTTCACGGCTTCAATTGAATAAAGGATAGTTTAACAGGTCTTCTTATAAATTGTGGTCCGTGATCACTCTCAACTGACATAAGGTTGCCTGCTGCACCTTGTCCATATTATATGAGGCAACCCTTTTTTTAGCTGGTGTATTCAGCACTTGCGATTCTTGCTTGCTTATTTGAAAACTTTGGATTTGGTTGCATCCCCTCTTTTTCATCTCATTGATGTGATAATAATTGTTCTTTTCCCGTGCTCCATAAAATTGTACTCCTGTTTATTATTTGGGATCTCAATTAGATCTATACTAGTGTCGCTATAACTCTATTATGTAGCTACAGCCATCCTTATAACAACTGCTTCTTGTTGCAGTGGAGTTTGGGGTTGATGATGATGATGTCAATGGAGATATAGAAAGAAATATTGAACTAGATGATGATAGTCAAGAAGTAGGTGATCAAAGTGAAATTGGTGTTAACAACATTATAAATGGGGAATTTCAGCAGGACCAGTGCAAGAAATTGGATCAAGAGTCTCCTGATGAGCTCCAAGATGGATTTGCAGTTTCAGATGCAGATACTGCTGATGAGCCATATGTGGGACAGGAATTCGATTCTGAAGCAGCTGCACATGCATTTTATAATTCTTATGCAACACAAGTGGGATTCATCATCCGAGTGAGCAAGCTGTCTCGCTCTAGGAGGGATGGTTCTGCCATTGGTCGGGCGCTTGTTTGTAATAAAGAGGGTTTTAGAATGCCAGACAAGCGAGAAAAAATTGTTAGACAGAGAGTGGAGACTAGGGTTGGTTGCAGGGCGATGATGTTGGTGAGGAGAGTAAATTCTGGCAAGTGGATGGTTACGAAGTTTGTGAAGGAGCATACTCATCCATTGACGCCTGGCAGGGGCCGAAGAGATTGCATTTACGATCAGTATCCGGTTAGTTCTTTCTTCCCTGACATCTTAGAATTACTGCTTTCCAATCTTTCCTCCCTGGCATTTTTAGAGAGGTGAAATCATGGTAGTTGCGGTTGTGCTCATCAATTACAGTTTGATCTCAACCAAAATGTGCAAGCCGTGGGATCTTATGATTCGACACGAGTTTAATTGTTGAACTTAGCAGATGGAAGTAGAGTCAGAGATTTTGGATACCATCTCTAGTAATTGGGTCCCTAGAAATTCCTTGCTAATAAACTTGTGTCACTCTTCATAACTGAATTATGAATCACCTATATTTCTGATAGAAAATTTACTATTCCGTGAAGGAGAGGTCGACTGCTGAAACCAATTTAGCGCAGCCCATAATTAGGGAATTCCAAGTTAGGGCTTCAGTATCAAACTTAGGAAGAGTTAGTCACTTGGGCATCAGGTCTTTGTATGCAGCACTTGAACTAGTCAGAGTTGGTGATTTCAGCACCAGCAAGCTGCAATATTGATATCCGTTGACTGTTGTTTTTTTGTGTGCAGAATGAACATGATAAAATCCAGGAGTTGTCCCAGCAGTTGGCCGTGGAGAAGAAAAGAGCCGCGACCTACAAAAGACATCTGGAACTGATTTTCGAACAGATCGAAGAGCACAACAAGTGTCTATCAAACAAAATCCGGCATATAGTGGACAGTGTGAGGGAGATGGAGGGTGAGGGTCAGCAGAAGTAGTAGGTTTAGTTTATTAGTAGGACAAATTTTCTGCCTCTTTTTTCTTCTTTTATGGCCCGGCATTTTTGTTTTTGCCAGGTTATAAGTTATGGAACTAGTAAAGGCAGTAGAGGGTCTTTAGATGGTATGGGAGGGAATAGTGCCATGTTACTGTTTCATGTATAGTTTTCTTTCTTAGTTGGGTTCTTATTCTTTTGGCTAATTTCTTGATTGAATAAGTTTTTTTTTTTTCTTCTTCTTCTTCTTGAATAAGTATTTATTGGGTGCTTGAAGTGGGTAGGAGGAAACAAATTTAGTCTACATTTGTTTCTTTTTTCCTTTTTCTGATAGTCCCACTTTTCCAGATAGGGGTGATTATTGGGCACTCACCTGCTTACGGTTGAATTAGTATAATTGATCGATCCACTTAATTGGTTCTCTATTCAGGCCCGATATTTTGCTATGATATGTACCCAAGGCTAATTCTCAGCTGTTGGAAAACCGGAGCGTTTAGTGTTTGTAAAATTGTATCAATCGAGAAAATTTTCTATCAGAATTTAAAATTGTAGGTGATATTTAAAAGTATGAAATGGTTAAACCATATTTTTAGTATAAATTCTACTCTGGTGCAACCTCCGATGTGATTTACAATCTTTGCTAATGCTAATAGGCGCGAGTGTTCAATATAACTGGATCAATTGCGGATCTCTTCCCTTTTGTGGATCTTCTGCCCTCTTTGTTGGGTTGAGATTTTGGCATCTGGTCTGGTCTGGTCTCGGTGATTCGGAAATGTGGCCATCGTGCTTAGACTCGGAGTGATGATCTTGAAAAGTGAAGGTTACCTTCCACCGGGTTGTTGGGCTCCAAGCTTTTCTTCTTGTTACTTGTCGGAGGGTTGCTATTGCTATTGCTTGCAATGGAGGTGAGGAGCCAGGGGCAAACAAAACAAGCGGCGACTAGAGTCAAGAGCTGAGTTCAAATCGAGCTTGTGTCTCGACCCTATTGGGTTTTTCACCATTCTTTGCCCTTGGATTATTGGCATATGTTATCTTTTGTTTGATTTGTTACATTTTCATTACACTTTCCCCTTTTGCATACTTAATGTATCCCTCCCGTTAAAAAAGAACATAAACAAAAACGGGATCAATTGATTTTCTTTATCATCTTACTTACACAAGATTTAGATCACCAAACGTGGAATGGAAGGAATGTATAATTTGCCTGCCGTATAGTTTAGTGGGTGACATGTTGAAAATTGGATAAATTATATATATATATATATATAAAGTATAAACACATGTTAAAATTAATATTTATAAAAACATAGTGTATCGATGGTCCGATAAGAAGAACTTTATATCTGAGTCTAAATTAATAAATAATTTTTAGAGATATAAAATGATTGAACGGTGGTGATTAACCGCATTTCAACATGAGTTGACCCACTTTGACCCTGACCCGGTGAGAAAAATAGGTCGCACGCACCCACCGGGTTGACCGCTACAAGGGTATCGGGTTGGAGGTCAAATTGTGTCGTTTTTTCTTTGGTTTGAGAAATGCGCCTATTTTCCGATTTTTCTTTTCGCCTAACTCAATCTTTGGAATCTTTAGTTGAACATTTGAATATTGTTTATATAAGTGTGTGAATTTTCACTATATGTTGGATCTAAGTACGACATGTTACTTTGGGGGTCGTTTGGATTAGGGAATGTGTAAATGAGGGATTTGGATTAAAATCTCTCAATTAAAAACCCGGGTATTTTAAACGTGGGATTTGATCCAAATAACATGTTTGGGAATAGATGAAGGATTTTAGTTAAAAATTAAAGTTACAATTATACCCATCCCTAATCCCTAAGGAAGAATAAGAAAGGAAGAACAAAAGGAGGGGCAGAGTTTGGAAAAGAATGAGAAAAAATGAGTGATTGTGAAATAGCTGATCCCCATCAGCTATTTTAAAAACTCTCATATGAGAGATTTAGAATTTCCTCATGCCCACAATCTCTCACCTTTCCAAACGCAGAATTGTTTTAAAATCCTGCACAACGAGAGATTGTTTTAAAATCACTCATAAATCCCCCGTCACATTCACTAATCCAAACGACCCCTTGGTGTTATATGTTATTACTCATATGTTAGAGGAGATTTGATATAATTTATCAGAATAAGTACAATATAATGACTCTTACCATATTGTCGGGCTAAAACGGATGACCCGTTAACACTTGACCCACTAACTCGACCGGGTCCGGATCAACCGCGGATTGATAAAATCTCATGACACTATCTAGTGTCAATCTAGATTCTAGTGTGTCCTCCAAGCAACAGCCACCATCCTCAAAATTGGCTGTTTTTTTTATTTATTTATAGAGGCTGTTTTGATTTTTTGCTGTCGTACTGGAAAAACCGCGCTCCAAATTCGTGAACCCTCGACGAATTTTGGGAAATCCGGGCTCTGGAGCGGGAACGAATTGGGTGACCACCTAAAGCCGATCCAGTACAATACCAGCGAGCTCCTGAAGTGGAGGAATGAGAATAGTAGGATTGACCGGAGGAATCTCGGCCGGGAAGAGCACCGTCTCCAATCTTTTCAAGTTCCATGGTGTTCCGGTCGTCGACGCCGACGTCGTTGCTCGGGTGAGTACTCCAGCCTCTCTCCTCTTTATATCCGTAATCATCAATAGCACTGTCCCGGCGGCGATCTTGCTTCTCCCCACTCTCACTCTCATTCAACTGTTCGATCTTTCCTCTCATCGGCGCTTGCTTCCCGTACCAGAACCAGCCCAATACTAATATGCATTGTAACGAGAATTAGGTTACATTTGGTTTCTGCTATTAGCTTGCCTGAATTTGGACGACCGGGTTAAATTAGCACTTCGATTTGTCTCTTAATTTCAACCTCTGGCGTCCTAGTTCATGTAGTGCAGAGATGATCTTGGCTGATTAACTGCATACAAGTTATAGTGCTAGATGGTGTATCCGAATACCCAATAGGAGCTTTCATTTCACGGGATGATGGTTTGATTGTTTGCTAAATTTCTCTTTGATAATGTAGGTGATTCTTGGTGGTAAGTTCTTGCCATTGATCAATGTGCTTACAGCTTACCTAGTGGTAGCTTGTGCATATTCAACTAGCAAGTGCTCTCCACCTGTAACACCTATCTTCCCGTTTTGGTATATGCGAAAGATATGATCTTCCGACTGGTTTTTGTATATATAATATACAGGATGTTCTGAAGAAGGGCACCGGAGGCCAGAAAAGAGTTGTTCATGCATTTGGAGAAGATATTTTGCTACCCAATGGAGAAGTTGATAGGGCTAAGCTTGGCCACATTGTTTTCTCGGATCCTGGAAAGTGCCAGCTTCTTAACAGGTTCATTATGAATCACCCACTCCAAGTTTCCGTCCATCATCTGAAAATTACTTGGTCTTGATAAACCATGCTGTGTAGATTTTCTGTTACTTCTTCCCCCATATCTTTGCTTAATATTGTTGAAAGGTTTTGTATCTTGACCGGGTTCTTTCAATGTTGGCTTCCTTGCAGGTTATTGGCTCCCTACATATCCTCTGGGATCTTTTATGAAGTTCTCAAGCTATGGCTAAAAGGTAACAAGGTTATTGTTCTTGATGTTCCTCTGTTGTTTGAGGCGAAGATGGATAGGTGGACAGAGCCCACTGTTGTCGTATGGGTGGATCCGGAGACGCAGTTACAACGGCTTATGGCAAGAGATAGCAGTAATGAGGAGGATGCTCGAAATAGGATAAATGCTCAAATGTCCTTGGATCAGAAACGGTCGAGGGCGGACATTGTGATTGACAACACTGGTTCATTAGAGGATCTAGAAGAAAATCTTAGGATGGTTCTAGTTCAAGTCACGAGGCCATTGACGTGGACCGAGTTCTGGCTCTCAAGACAAGGAGCTCTCATATCTCTGTTTGCCATTGTCATTGGAGTAGTTGTTGGCAAAAAGATTTCTAAGGCATCATTAGAAAGAAACCTCATATGACCAGGTTGATTTGCACTTTAAACCGGCCTTGCCAGAGATAGTAAAAGCTAGTGACCTAGTGTTGCACGAACCAGCTCGTGTAGCTGACCCAAGGGAAATCAGTTCGGAAAGGATACAGAAGATCATTGATGACATGGTTAAGGTTATGAGGTTAGCTCCAGGAGTTGAGCTGGTTGCTCCCCAGATTGGAATCCCGCTGAGGGTCAGGTTTCTTCGTTTGTGCTTTATCCATCCATGATTTTGAGTTCTTGGGGGAACTGCTAATTTATTGCAATTTTAGTAAAGCCCCTAGTTGTAGATATTCCTAGGTTTAGCTGCATTTCACTTGTTGCTGTGATTATCAAGAAGAGAATTCAGCTGATTAGCTCTTTTACTTTCATCTGCTTATTAGTTCTTGTATGTTGATTTTTTTAGCTATGGCCACAACGTAGGGAATTTGTATTTTTCCTTGAGGGTTGAATCCAATGGGAGTATTTGACAGATCGTAATGGCTCCTACATTTATCCGTTTCCTGGATTTCGCACTTCTATTTGACTGAATTGAGCTGGAAGTCCAGTAAACCTTGGCAGCATCATTGTTCCTTCGTTGTAGTTTTCCGACCTCCTCAGTAGCACTTGGATAGGAAGGGAAGATCCCTTCTTAAGCCTTTGGTTTCCTTTATCTGGGTTACTACTGAAGTTTGACAAAGATGGTGCTTCCAATGCCGTGGCGAGATTTTCCTGTGTTTTGATTGCTCGAGTTATATGAAAGATATTTGACTCATTTTTCTGTAACATGGCTGAGTTCATTCAATCTCCCTCTTTGATTTGCCCTTCTGGTTTGTGTTTATTTGACATGATAGTTCGGGATAACTAGAATAAGCTACTTAAAGCCAGAATCTGCTGTTCTTATTCTGAAGCTATCATTTTCTTCGTGGATGTTCTCCCCTCGATGTTTCTATTACCGTTGATTGTGATAGATGCAATTTCTTGGAAGAAAAAAAAGCCTTCACTTCGCTGCAGATAATGCTATTGGAAGATATGCACCAGAAGAAGAGACTAAAGCACAGGATAGGCGGCCATTTGACCTTCTGGCATGTGGGCAGGGAACAAAAAGGTTCTATGGAATGTGTTATTCTATTGTATTCATGTCCTGTAATTTGTCCTGCAGTTCACAATGGCTTAGTTGTTTTATGGGTTTCCCTGTCGCAGTGTTTGATGGATTCAGGGCTTTGGTGGAGCGTAGTCTGGAAGTCGAGGTTACAGGGTTGAGCCGTGATCAAGGTTGAAGCCTCCGGGTGGCAGGCTGGTATCTTACAGAACAGCACGAATGTGATCATCTGGATGGAACGCTTTATGTGGACAAGATGGCTGAAAGCGAGCGAAAGGCGTTGGCCAGTAGGTCCAATCCCATCAACATTCACCTGAAAGCGAGCGAAATGCTTTCGAAACGCTGTTGAGAGGAACAAAGTATCCGACTCCTGGTTCATGTGCTGGTCCATATTATTCTTGCTTTCAATGATTCCATATTTTCCTTTACAACTAATACACTTTATACACAAGCTGTAAACAAAATCGAATGCTTTGATAAGTTGGTTCCGATTTCATCTTCTGAACGGAGATCGGGATCTTTTGTTGGGCATAATGCCGCCACCGCCGCCTTTATTCCTGCCATCCCAAGCTGAGTACCAGAAGAAGAGAGACATCCAGCAACCAGCAAAATTGACTTGATATACACTCTCCAACGGAGCACAGGTGTGTTAGAGTCGAGTCCATTATGGGTAGCAATTGACCGTAGAATCAAAAGAACCCACCCACCAAGTGTTTGATAAAAGGCGCCGGGAAGGAAATGAAATTCTCACTGATCTATAAACCCCCCAACAGACAAGTGCTAGAGTGGAAGCAGGAATATGCAAAAGCGTGGAGGGATTGATTCGAATCACCTCCGAGTGTCAGCGGGGTCGGATTGCGGCGGCAGCTGAGCGAACAGCCGGTGAAGGTGTGGGTATGGGTATGGGATGGGGTTTCTGCAGCCTCCAGTGAAACGAGAAGAAGAATCACTCGTTAAAATAGGAAGATGATGATAAGAAGAAGAGGACGGATATCGAGTTTGGGTATGAAACTCCGGAATCGCTGGCGAACGGCAGCATTGGCTTGCGTTGTTGCCGGAACAGCTGCCGCTGGTCCAGAAGCAGCGAGCAGCCATCTCTTTCTTTGGTGGGAATGGGAACAAGCTCTTTAGCTTACGTAACACAAGTCCACGAGACCACAACAGCATACTACCATTTTTCCTTTCTCTTTTTTGTTTTAATTTTTGGAATTTTATCAAAATGCCACTCTAAAACTAAATAATTCAAAAAATACCACTCTTATAGAAAAAATTTCACTCTTACCACTCTTTCACATAGATCGCCACCTACCCCAGCGGTTTATACAAGGACCGCATGGGGTGGCGGCGGTTCTAATTTTTCCTACAAACCGCATGTCTCACAAGCAGTTTCTTGGCTGACCTAGAACAAATCGATGGAAGCCCTGGCGGTTTTATGTCGGCAAGAAGAACCGCCACAGGCCCCAACGATTCTAGTTGCCGACACATAAAACACAGGAGCCAGTGGCGGTTTATGTGTCGTCCTTATTCCCCCGACAAACAACCTGTCAGCATGCAGGAGGTTGCAGATGTAGGGTTTGCATGTCTGGTGAAAATTGCCATATCCCCCTACGATTTTCACTAACATTTTGCCTATAAAAGACGGTCCCAGATACCCCAACTCTTCGGTACTTCTTCTCATTCTTCTATTAAATTTTGTTTTGCTCCCTACTTTTTTTTTAGTTTTTGCGATTAACCTTACTTCGTAAGTCTGTTTTGTATTAATTTTTATTGTGATTTGTGATTTTTCAATGCTTATCATTCAAAAATTATTCATGTGTATGTGTTTCACAAATTTATGGTATTAATTTAGTTACAGCTTTATTGCAAATGTCCTTTCGAAAGTTCACGTTTGGGTTACGGTGGAATGGTTACACGAAAGAGACTGGAAAGGGGGTACGTTACGCCGGTGGTGATTTTCAGAAAGTGAAGGTCGCTATGAGACCAAACCTTGAAGAGCTCTATCAAATGTGTTCAACGGTTAATTGCATGGATGGGACGAGGAGAGTTGATCGTATGGTGTATCGGTATCCAAACAGAGAAGACAAGTCATTGTGGTATGAGGAATTGCTCATAACCAGTCAGAAGGAAGTTGATGCCATTCTCGAATTGTTTAATGTGAATAACATTTGCAAAGCAGAGATGTTTGTTAACACCGAGGAGGATGAACGCGGTGAAGGTCAACCCGGAGATGGCCAAACATATGGTATCCACGGTGGGGTGGAGGATATGGGCATCAATCCTACCATTAATACCAAGAAGGAGTTGGAGTTCATCATCATCAATCCTTCTAATCATACGAACAAGAATCCCAACGATACCATGACAATCAACAAGAAGACTACTAGTACCAACCTGAGTACAACTTCCATGGAGGTAGCGGTAGTTATCACAACTACCATCACGGAGCTGATGATGGTGCCTTCATGATCTAGATGACATGGAAGATGCGCTGCCAGCTGCAGTTAGTGACCATGAAGATGAAGAAGAGGAAGACAATGTCAGTGCAGACAGCTTCGACCCTTTTGAAGGTGTTGATGATTCAGGACCAGATTCAGACTTAGATGATGAGGAGGTGTCCCGTGACCGTGTGTCTATCCCATACTACATGGATATTCTAGATGAAAATTGGTATGTTGATACCGTCATGGAGCCGCCAGAGGTGCCAACATGGAATCCAACCACTAGGTTTAAGAAGTGTGATTAAAAGGCATGAAATCTTAGTGGGCACTCAAGGAGGTGGCTTCGTTCCAAGTACTCGAGGTTGTGGCGTCATGTCGAGTACTCGGGCGGGGATCGTTGTGCAACCCAAAGGGTGAGGCACGCACCACGCCTCAATCGTCCGCACCTCGAGCACATGAGGCCTTTCCCTAGTACTTTTGTTAGGCCTTCTTTGGTATGACAGTGGAGGTTAGGGACATCAATAGATACCCTCGCAGTAGGCGGTGTGGGCATCGGCGGGTATCTATGATGATCCTGACCACACTATCTAACACAATTAAGGAGACTATTGGTGATCTTCCTTAGGAGCGACACCTCTCTTCGCCCAAAGTCTCGCCACTACGGGCTAGAACGTGTACATGCTCGACCCCATCGACCTGAACCACACCAATTTACCAAGTTAGGCAATTAAAAGTAATGAAATGCATAACAACTTATGTGTCCATAAAAGTAATGAAATTGAATTGAATAAACGGAAAATGGCTTACCAATGCACCATCCGGAGTCATGTACAAATGTACCTAACCGATTGTGCACGGTGTTGGTCCATGTAAGGGTCATTATAACCCATTGCATCCACCGCTCGAGGAGTGACAATGTCTTCATCTTGTCTATTCCACAATTCAATGTATGGTGCCAACTTCATGGGCCAATCACGAGGACCTTGGCGACCATCTATTTCGTGAAAATCCTTCTGGCTATCGGGTGGATCTGAGGGTAAGCATTGCTCACGGCCATATTGTTGTAAGACTCGATCAGGCATGTGCCACTCCACAAGATGGTGGCAAATGAGTGGGACTCTCTTGCACCATTGTTGTGATGAACCGGGAATTGTCTCATGTGCCACTCCACCACGTTGGAAGGGTATGAATCGAATAAAAGCTACAAAAGAGAGGGATTTTTCCAATAATAGCACCTTTAAAAAAATTACAAAAATAGCACCCATCCGAAAAAAATTACACTAATAGCACCATTTTTTTTGGAACGCACCCCTAAGAAGCGTTTTATAAGTAAAACGCACCGGAAGGATGCGTTCTACGTATAAAACGCATCAGAGGGGTGCGTTCCAGATTACAAAACGCACCGGAAGGGTGCGATTTAATGCTGCTGCGGAACGGTCTTCAAAACCGTTGGATGGAGGGACGATCGGGCGGCTGAACGCTTGCCAGCGGAGCGATCCGCGCCGAGGATAACAGATCGCACGCGTAGAATGCGATCAACCCTAGGGAAGCGCAAAACGCATCGGGAGGGTGCGATCCGCGCGAGGGAAAAATTACCCTACCACACCTGGAGGGTGCGGTCTGATGGGTATAAATACCCCCCCCCTTCCCCTCTCATTTCTTCACACCACAACCCATTCTTCCTTCTCTCTCTACAATTTATCTCTCTAAAACCTCCCCCTCCCAAAAGCCTAGGAAATAGTGGTCTGTTGGTTGCGGCTAAGTCCGATCTGCCATCAGAAAATATTTCTTAGGTTTTTTCCTCAAAACCCGCCGAGCCGAGCCGAAGCTCTGTCCGAATTGCGCCGAAAAAATGGCCGATTGGTGGCAAGGAGAAGCAGTTTATGTTGATGAATTTCAAGCGGTACGTACTCATTATATTGGTTTAATTTTTGTTGTTGTTATAAGCTTTTTAATTAATCTATGTACTAACCTCGTTGTTATCTTCTCGTAGGTTGGGGAGGACGTGGATATATACAACCAACGGTATTATCTCGAGCAAGGACCGTTGGATCCAACCGACTTGTACGACCAACCCAACCATCGGTCAAGGGATGTTTGGAATGCTCACCCGGTACATACAATTCTTTACCATTTGTCATTCTTTTATTTTGTTAATGTATTTAGTGGATTCATTGAAATAAATTTATGTTGAATTTGTAATCGTGTTGGTTGTTTTCAATAATTTAATCGAATACATAGCGCCACTTACTTTGACTCTTTATAAAGAAATGCACGTCTAAGGAAATGGGGTTTTAAGCGATTATTATATCCTCTCATTCCCTGGGAAAATCGGGTATTAAGAGATCCTTGGATCCCCCTTTTTCTGTCAAAAAGACTGCGTTTCTAAGAAGATGTATACCTCTTCTAAGAGTCTAACGAGTGTTGCTTTGTATTCGATTAAATTATTTAAAACAACCAACACGATTAAATTATTTACCAAACAACCCTTACGATTTATTTTGATGTGTACAAAAGGAATTGTATTAATTTCAAACATTTGAATATGTATGTTTCTCTTTAAATTATGATTCATTAACAATGTCATTTAATTTAGTTAATTTAGTATGTTTATTTTACGATAATATGTATGTATCTATTTAAATTATTATTCATTTAGAATGTTATTATGTTAATTAATTTAGGATGTTTGTTTTACGATAATATGTATGTATCTCTTTAAATTATTATTCATTTAGAATGTTATTATGTTAATTAATTTAGGATGTTTGTTTTATGATAATATGTATGTATCTCTTTAAAGTATTATTAATTTAGACTGCTATTATGTTAATTATATGAAATGTCTTTTTATGATAATAAAATTCTGCTTGAAGTTAAATAATTTAATTTAATTAATTTAGTTATAAGGAATAAACCCTTACTAATATATAACAATTAACGTGTAAATTTTCCCTAGGAGGCACAAACAATAATCCGCTACAGGGGTACGACCAATGTGCTCCCATTCCACCCAGCTATCTTGCCATTTCTCAAAAGGGCACGGTTGGACCCGATTAGGCATTTTAACGGCATCAAAGTTGATCGCCAACTCATCACCGCATTAGTTGAGAGATGGAGAAAGGAGACCCATTGTTTCAACTTTAGAGAAGGCGAGGCCACCATCACGCTAAAGGATGTCGCCATCCTAACCCATCTCCCCATCAATGGCAAACCGGTGTGCGTGAGTGATCATCCCCCCTAGGATTGTGACGGTATGCCCGGTTGGGTTCATTTCATCTACAGTGTTTTGGGAGTCAAAGTACCAGTGAAGGGGTGCGTTGATGCGACCGATCGCATGCCACCAATGAGGAAACACCAAGTCTCAATTACTTGGTTGACGAAGTACTTTAGAGACCATTACGAGAGTCATCCCGTAACCGAGGAAAGTCCGGAGGATGAGAAGGAGAGATATGCTCGGGTCCATCTCATTGGCATGATCGGAGGAGTGTTCTTCTCCACAAAATCAAGCAATCTCCTCAGTTGTGGATTCCGCTTGAAATGATGGTTCCAGTTGCTCTTGAAGTGTCGTATGCACCACCTTTGGGACCACTTCCAGGCTGGATCTAAACCTAAGATGGCAGCTCTAATGCCGGCGTGCCGATCAGAGATTATTGTCAGGTTCGTCCTCCTAGTACAACGGAGCTGAATTTGCCAGAAAAACCATCCATAGCTATCAGCATTCTCTCCCTCAACGATGGCGAAGGCTAAAGAAAAGACTTGTCTGTTTGCATCCGCCCCACTGGCAATCAGGAGAGTGCCCTTGTACTTGCCAGTAAGGAATGTTCCATCCACTTGGATGACAAGGACACAGAAGCCAAAACCATCAATGCATGGCTTGAATGCCCAAAAAAGTCGTCTGAAATGGCGCTTGTTACCTGGCTCTGGGGGTTGTATCTCTTCATCTTGGTATCGAGGGGAGAAAACCGTGCCAGGGTTAGACGCCTCCAATGCCAAAATTAACCTGGGAAGGAATGCATATGATTCTTCCCAATCACCAAAGACGGCGGCCAGAGCTTTCTGCT